GCTTGGCCAGCTGATCCCTGACTCCATATGCAGCTGTCCACTCCTGGAGGAGGCAGGACAAGGATTCTCCCCATGCAGCTGACAAGTGGATGGCTGCCTGTGGAGGCAGGGATCGGCCAGCCAAGCTCCTCCCCAGATTGGTGTGTTGCTGGTGACAAAGTGCACAACAAAAGGTGAGTGGTTACACTGGTCTGGGGGGTGGGAAGAGAGTCCAGACAGCAGCTGTGCTGCCACATGACAATATTTGAATAGAGGGTTTCGAATTAAGTCAAGTCTATCTCATTCCTTTATTTTTTTTCCTTAAGGAAGCTTTTTTTTGTGTGTAATGTTGCTGGGCCTTAAATAAGTTATTCATTTAGTTCACTAGAGAATAAAGTGTAGTCTCTTTTGTTTTACTGCCTTTCAAAGATACAACATGCCACCTGCCTCATTTTTTTTTCAAGCAAATTAGGGACTAAAAGGAAACCCAAGCAGGTTGGTCACCTGAGCCTTGTGCCTCAGTTACGCATGACTTGAAGGGGACTCTTCATCTGGGGTTATGAGTGTGTGTGTTTTTTTTAAAAAAAACTGTGTTTGCTTCACCACCTATCTCTGTGGGATCTGGAAATACTTAACCATGTGTCAGCCTGCTTCCTGAATTATAGCTTCAACAAAAGCCCATTCTTTTAAAAGTAAACAGAATTGCATTAGCCACATTGGATGGATTTCATAACCTACACTGCTGTTCTTTAAGAAAAAATGTGACACAGCTAATCCGCCACTCAAGGTGAGAACAGCATTCCTAGTAGTCACAAAAAACAAGTTATAAAATGTAGGTATCAGTTTAATGGAAAAACTTCAGAGTAGTGTGCATGCATTTTCCATTCTTCTTCTTCTTCTTCTTCTTCTTCTTCTTCGTACTGTATTATTATTATTATTATTATTATTAGTAGTAGTAGTAGTAGTAGTAGTAGTAGTAGTAGTAGTAGTAGTAGTAGTATAATTGTAGTAGTAGTAGTAGCAGCAGCAGTAGCAACAGCAGCAGCAGCAGTAACTGAATTTTTATACTCCTTGCATACTGCCAATTTGTGCTCATGGTACTGCATACAAAAATACAATAAAATAGCAGTGATTCTTTAACATGCGTTAACAAAAGCTGATTTTTCAAGTTAGGTTTGTAACCATTTAGAAAACTCCTTGCAGAGAACTGACCTGTTTTTCTCCACGTAGACACCAAAAGATATTGCTGGCTGGTGAGTGCATGTAACATATTGGGGCAAATGAGCCCCTGAAGCTAGGACCAGTATTATTAGTTCTGTTATGTTACTGGCTAAATGATGGATGCAACAGCAGAGTACTAAGCCTGTTCTTGCTTGTAACTGGTTCTGTAATATGAAACTAACAAAAAAAGATACGAAATGTAACGTGTCTACAGGAAATTCATGCAATAAACCCAGATGCTTGCTCAACATTGGCTATTGCCAATACAAACACATAGACCTCATTTCTAGGAATTACAGATTTAAGTTTTCCATGTCATTTGCCAATTTATTTTAGCGGGAGAACAAATCAGACTACAAGCATCCTGAACCTCTGATGATATAATGGCTTGCCTGTGCCATACTAGTAATATTCCTCTGGCAAGATGTTACTGCAGTTTTCACTGGTTCACCAGGAACAAACAATGAAGGCCAAGAGTTGATCAACCTTCTATCAGATACTGCGGGGTGCATGTTTGTTCTTAATTTGGCCAATTAAAGGGATGATGGTTGGTCTTCCTTTTCCACCACAAAGCAGTTTGTTATACAGCCAATCTGCAGTTTATAAATTGTGATAAGAGCATAATAATTGAGGCATAGAAGACAATTGAGGTGTAGAAGACATATTGCTTCAGCAGCATGTGGACTGAGAACTCCCAGAAGTACAAGCTGGATTCCGAAGGGGCAGAGGAACTAGAGACCAAATTGCTAACATGCGCTGGATTATGGAGAAAGCCAGAGAGTTCCAGAAAAACATCTACTTCTGCTTCATTGACTATGCAAAAGCCTTTGACTGTGTGGACCACAACAAACTGGCAAGTCCTTAAAGAAATGGAAGTGCCTGACCACCTTATCTATCTCCTAAGAAACCTATATGTTGGACAGGAAGCAACAGTTAGAACTGGATATGGAACAACTGATTGGTTCAAAATTGGGAAAGGAGTATGAGAAGGCTGTATATTGTCTCCCTGCTTATTTAACTTATATGCAAAAAAAATCATGCAAAAGGTAGAACTGGATGAATCCCAAACCGGAATTAAGATTGCCGGAAGAAATATCAACAACCTCAGATATGCAGATACCACCCTGATGGCAGAAAGTGAGGAGGAATTAAAGAACCTCTTAATGAGGGTGAAAGAGAAGAGTGCAAAAAATGGTCTGAAGCTCAACATTAAAAAAACTAAAATCATGGCCACTGGTCCCATCACCTCCTGGCAAATAGAAGGGGAAGAAATGGAGGCAGTGACAGATTTTACTTTCTTGGGCTCCATGATCACTGCAGATGGTGACAGCAGCCACGAAATTAAAAGACGCCTGCTTCTTGGGAGGAAAGCAATGACAAACCTTGACAGCATCTTAAAAAGCAGAGATATCAGCTTGCCAACAAAGGTCCACATAGTCAAAGCTATGGATTTTCCAGCAGTAATGTATGGAAGTGAGAGCTGGACCATAAAGAAGGCTGACCACCGAATAATTGATGCTTTTGAATTGTGGTGCTGGAGGAGACTCTTGAGAGTCCCCTGGCCTGCAAGGAGAACAAACCTATCCATTTTGAAGGAAATCAACCCCAAGTGCTCAGTGGAAGGACAGATCCTGAAGCTGAGGCTCCAATACTTTGGCCATCTCATGAGAAGAGAAGACTCCCTGGAAAAGACCCTGATGTTGGGAAAGAGTGAAGGCAAGAGGAGAAGGGGACAACAGATGATGAGATGGTTGGACAGTGTCACTGAAGTGACCAACATGAATTTGACCAAACTCCAGGAAGCAGTGGAAAACTGGAGGGCCTGGCGTGCTCTGGTCCATGGGGTCACGAAGAGTTGGACACGGCTAAACGACTAAACAACAAAAAGAAGACAAGAGCAAAGGTAAGGCAGGGCACATATTTTTGAACAGCCCTCCTTCAAAGCCTCATTCCTTGTGGGAAACCAGTCGAATAGCATTATTGGATTAATGAACTGGTTTACTACAGAAAGATAGGTAGCTTTCCAGTTCAAATAGCACATATTTATACTAATAATGCTTGCCCTATATATGTGCCTGTCTTGCATATAGCTCCAAGACTATAAAAACTGAGACTCTGCATACATATTGATGCAATCCCGGGTCTACACCTCACAATTCATTTTTGAAAATTTAGTTTTTAGTTTAATTGAAAGCACTGTATAGCTTGCAATACCATATTCCTTCAACAGGTGGCAAACTTCCCTAAACAGCAGCAAGGAAGCAGTTCTCACTGCCCTGTTCACTGTCTCTCCAGAGAGCCTCTAGGCAGCTGCACAAAAGTAAAGGTAGGGAAAAAACAACAAGCTAAATATGGCTAATGCTCATCTCTGCAGGGTACCTCTCAAAAAAATTGAGATAAAGTCCTGCTATCTGATAAAAGTTGGGTGGGGGACAGTGAGGAGAAGAAAGGGCAATGAAGCGCTAAAGTGGAAGGAAAGAAAGAAAAAAGACCAGAGGATGGAAAGAAGCAAAAAGCCCCCAATTGTAAGGTAAGATTATCTTGATGGATGAGAGAAAATCACCATGATGGGGAGCAAAGTCGTCTCCATATCTAGTGATGCTATGTCCAGTTGCACAATACGATTGCCCATTCCCTGTTGGAAGTGGTAAAGGCAAAACCCCTATTGTTGCACAGGGAGGTCTTATACATACCTGTGCAAAAGTCAGCCCCATAAAGCCTTTCCAGCTCAGCATCCTTTTCATGCAGAGGCTGAAGAGCTACCCATGGGAAGCCTGCCAGATGGACGTGAGGGCAGAGGCACCTTCTGTCTCCCATTCCCCAGCAGACGGACCGCAGAGGCCATGCGGCCTCTGCTAGCGGTGGCACAGGCCCACTTTGACTACTTTCTCCTCTCACTGGAGGTGCAAAGTCTCCAGGGATTTATCTCCCCCTCACAGCTGCTGTCCAGGATCCAGGGGTCTCGTTCTATCCTCCAGCAGTAAACTTCCTATATAGGCCCACTGAAATAAAAAGGGGAACCCTGTGGTCCAAGCAGAATAAAATGCCAAATGCAACAGTTGATGCCTTCATACAATATGATGATTTTAAGAGGGTCTATAAAGGCATCATATTTGCATTTTATTCCATGTATAAGCTACGCCTTTCTTTAAGGATGCAGTGAATGCAACAGGATGTACTCACAGGTTGTCCCCATCCAGAAGGGCAGCCCGGCTTCTGCCCACCTCCTTCTCCTTAACACCGGCTCTGCTTCACACAGATCGGTCACGGGGGCCAGCAAGGGAGGCCCAATAAAATAAATAAATAAAATATTGTAGCCATCCTGCCCCGTAGGGGGGTGGGTGCCCAAAAGAGGCAGCCAGGCAGGGCCACCACCACCCCCCGCCCTTCTTTCCAAGTCCTCACGTGCTGCTGACCAGACCCCCAACACGCGTCGAAGGGTCCCCTCGGTTTTTAGAGGATCAGCCGAGCTTGGGAACCAGTCCTTCCCCGGCGGGTTTGTGAGGGCGAGGAGGACTCTCTCTCTCTCTCTCTCGACCGGGGGAGCCTCTTTCCCCCGCAGCCTCCCCGTTACCTCCGGGAGGAGGAGCCGGCGGCCTGACATCACAATTCCCCTCCCTTCCCCCGCCGGTCGGGGCGGCAGCTGGGCGGTCGTGAGGCAGAGAGAGAGAGGCAAAGAGAGGCGCAGTCAGAGCCTGTGCGCGGTGCTCGCGGGCCCGCCGCCGCCCTCGCCATGCCGCGTCCTTGGCTGCCTGGCCCGGCGCACTAAAAACCCCGCCGGCGGGAGTGGGGGGGTCAGGATGAAGGACCTGCCCGGCGCCTCGCTGCTGAAGGCTTGCCGCCTCCTCGTGATGTTCTGCCTCCTGCACCTCCTCGCCGTGGTCTTCTACTACCTGGCGGGCAGCACCCTCAGCCTGCGGGGCAGCCCGGAGCCCCCTCCGGCCCGGGTCCTGCCGCCCTCCCTCCCCCGGGATCTGTCCGGGCTGCGGGAGAA